GCTCTGTCTCTGCAGATAATGTATCACTCAATGCTTCCACTTGTGCCAAGTCTAGCCTATCATTCTGAAACGCTCGACGTGTGAACTCTCCAGGTTCAGCATATCGGATCTTCGCAGGCGAGGTAGATTGTGGAATTGCTCCCAGAACTGCTTTGACTGTAGCTGGACCTCCATGCACATGCAACTCGAGGACGTCGTCACCAGTGACGGTTTTCGGCGCGGGCAAATAAAGAACTAAAGCATCGGAGTCGAGAATGTTTAGAATCGAGTTCGCCGGTTCATACAGTGTTCTGACAGCGGCATATCGTGGTTTTGGGATCGATTTAGATGGACACAAGCTGTGATAGATCTATAATAGTCAATATCAAAGACTCATCAAGTGAAAGGAAGGTACCATACATCGAGGCATGCGGAGCCAGATATACGTATGATAGCTATGCCGGCTCTGCCAGACGCCGTGGAAAGCGCGTATATTGTATCGTCTACAAACTCAATTTTACTTTCTGCTTTTGTGTGTAGAAAGGTCTTGAAAATTCCAGATTGACCGGTGAATATTGAGGAAATGGCAGGTCGAGTCGATGAAGAATAAACCCTCCGGCTAGTATTTATACCAAGCCTGCGATGAATGACATTGCGCCGTAAGTGCCTGGACCTTGAAGGTACACTTCGAAGCATTGACAAGCATAAACTTTGAGAAGCTTTTCGATTGAGTTCTCAAATGAATATAGAAAATGTCAAGACAATGAATAGAAGTGCCGAATAAATTCCACCAGCTCGCGAGGACTGGAAACTTGCACATCTGGTTTGTCTATTCCACCGGAGAGTATTACCCCGCTCCCGGTGAGCTTGTCTATTTCCGAGTTTGACTTCGATATAATTGCATCGGGTGTCACTAGGAGTTGACTGGTATCTTGTAGTAAGTTAATACGATATTCATATAAAGCATTCAGTTTGTAATAACATTTTCTACTATTCTTATAAACATTGATGCTACTACTATAAATATACCCACATATCGTGAACCTATCTCGAGCCTATATAATCTTACAAAAGACGTCAACGAATTAGCTAACGTAATTCATCACCGAGTAAATCATATCACCAAATAGATTATTTTCACCTCAAATATTCATATCTTAATTTAACACATATTTTATTAATCAATTATTATATAATTAAATAATAATAAAGCTTGAATACTCTTAGCCATTAAAGTTATTCGAAAAGACAAAAAACTCAGCATTTAACGATCTGTCAAGCTATATAATATACCATATATAATACTACACTATAGAATGAATGGTTTTATTCCTTATATCGAATCTCTACCAAATAATAATAACCTTTTGAAATTAGAAAAGGAAATTATTATTTAATATATAATTAATATGAATATAAGAGGTTTTGTATCTAAACATAAGGGGGTGGAAGATATAGTGAATTATATTCTTAAATCAAAATGTTACGGAGGTACCCGCACCGCAACATGGATTATAAGATAAACCTAAGGCCTTGGTGTTGGAACCTACGAAAACAGCACTGTAGGGACAGTTGGATTAAAGGGTAACGAAAGATAGCGGTAACCGAATCAATAAGCAATGATTAAAAGATAGGTACCTATCTTTTGTTGGCACCTATCCTACAGTAGGCACAGGAGGGATAGCGGTTACAGGTTATCTAGTAAGCACAGGTTAGATAAGCAGTAGTATCATGTAGGTCACGGGGCAAGTGTCACGTGATGGATAGACAGGATAGGCAAGCTATCCAGGCTATCCGTGGATAGACAGGATAGACAGTCTACCCAAGCTATCCAGACGAGAACGAAGGTCTATATAAGGGAATGGGTTTCATTACAATGTAGAGCTTCGTGCTCAAGATCAATCATTAGTTTCATACTATAGTTACGAGAATTGCAACCAGTTACAACCTTATTGAATTCCTACTTGAAGTCTAGTCTAAACCACCTCGAGAGATCTCTAGACACTTCCACGTGACCCTAGAGGCAGCTCCCGTAACACAAAAGAAGCAAAAAGAGTTGGAAAATAATAGATGTATTGATTCATAAAATGTAATAAAGAATTAAGAACACGTTTTACTTGTATTTATAATTTTCAAAAAGCTCTCTATAAAAATCCTAAGCTTATTAGAGATTAGTTCCGATTTATATCGAATATACGAAACAAATTTGGTATTTTTGATTGTAATTTATAGAATTTTGATAAAACAGACTTTATAATAGGAATTATAAATGCTGGTATAATTGTTATTAGCTTTAAGAGATTCGGTAGAAGTAAAGTTATACAATTAGATAATTGAGAATGGGCGATAGTGATTATATATGATAATAGTGAGGGGGATACTATACCTTTATTTCTCATAATTCAAGAATAGATGCATTTTTCTAATTAGTATATAGAAATCGATCTTCCTGTAGAATGGACTATTAAATCTATTTCTAATGAATGGATAAACAATGAGATAGGGTTAAAATAATTGAAACACTTTGATAAACATATAAGAAATCGAATTAAGAACAAATATAGAATGCTAGTACTGAATAAATATGAAAGCTATAAATTAATATCATTCTAGAATTATTATAAAAAGAATAATATTAAATATATATATTTACTATTATATTCAAGTTATTTAATTTAGTCTTTTAATATTAAATATTTTAATATTTTAAAATGAGAATATAATACTCAAATTGAAGGGTTTATAAGAGTATATATTAATTATATTTCAAAGATCGAATTCTTTATAGCTTTTAAAGTTGTATATTAATGGTTAATTATAAATCAGAATATAAAAGCTAAATTTCGAGGAGTAGGATTAATTTCATTTAATTCTAAAACAATGCTTTTCAAATTAGATATTCGAATTTATATATCTATTTCTTTATTATGGGAGCTGCCTCTAGGGTCATGTAGAAGTGACTAGAGATCTCTCGAGATAGTTTAGACTAGACTTTAAGTAGGAATTTAATAAGATTAGTAACTAATTGTAATTCTCATAATTATAGTAATGAAATTAATAATTGTTCTTAAGCACGAAGCTTTATATTATAATAAAACTTATTCCCTTATATAGATCTTCATTCTTTGTTATATTCCTTGGGACCTCCTTATAGGCTGAATCGCTACGGACCTCACTGCGCTCCAGGAGCGCTACAGCTCCTTGACGCTCCGTCACCTGCTCATAGTCATGTGACGCGGTACTTCGCAAGGACCTGTTACAACAGACATCACATGACACATTCGCATGTCACGTGAGGGAGCCTTGGGGAGCCGCGGGCTCCAGGAGCATACGGATCCCAGGGGCTCCAGAGGACGAAGGTCTATATAACAGAATGAGTTTCATTATAATATAGAGCTTCGTGCTCAAGAACAATCATTAGTTTCATTACTATAGTTACGAGAATTGTAACCAGTTACAACCTTATTGAATTCCTACTTGAAGTTTAGTCTAAACCACCTCGAGAGAACTCTAGACACTTCCACGTGACCCTAGAGGCAGCTCCCGTAACAGGACCGTCGTAATATTCTTTTCCTTTTAATTTAGATTTCTGGGTTTTTTAAACTCCTTATAATCCTATAAAAGCTTTTTCTTAATTAATATTAGTTAAATCTTAAATAACTTATTATTAATCAAGCTTTTCTATATTTTTATTTAAAATTGTATTAATTTTAATTAAAAGTATAGAGAGATTAGTATATGAGAATATACTTTTAAGTATAAAAAACTATATATTTTGAAAAATTAATAAAGTATTAAGTTAATATTAATATATATAAAAAATATAAATATATTAAGGAGGAGTATTTACTAAATAGAAGATTATGAATATATTATTTCAATAAAAAGTTGATATTTAGATTCAATATGATAAGTACTAAAATAAAAGGAATTCTAATAGAAAAGTATTTTTTAATTAATATTATAATAATTATGAAAAGATAGGTTATAATATAAGAATTTATTAAATTGATATAATAGATTTTAGATTATTAGATTCTTAATAGTTCTAATTAATTGAATTAATGATTATTGAATAATATGAATTTGAATATATTAATTGAGATAAAAGTGATTTGTTTGGTGATATGATTTACTCGGTGATGAATCACGTTATCTAGTAGTTAAGCCCTCGTCTCAAAATTCCCCATGTTCATAGATAAGCACTATGCAGCAAATCATTTGCATACCTGCGCGCCATCAACATACAATATGCTAACCATCTACCTTATAGAATTCCCAATTCATTATAGAAGTAAACAAAATGCGTACCATCATTAACAGAAATTCATTACCCTATACACCACTCCTCATTACTAGAAAAAATTCATTATATATCTACAAACCACTTCTGGGACCACTCGACTCTATTCGTCTTATATTAGTTAAGCCTTCTCCTTGCATAACATCGGCCATTCGTTGTTCGATGATTGAAAGTCGTTGGTCTTCCGAGATCTGAAAAATTTACAGCTCTCTCCTAGACATGGGGTGACGCCCAGGATCAACGGATGATACAAGTCGACGGGAAAACTTTATATATAACACGAAATTTGGAGTCCGCTCTGAGACATCTAAGACATCAGACAGAGGTTGTTCGTCTTTGGGCTGATGGTTTATGTATCAATCAGTCTGACGTTGATGAGAGAAACAGGCATGTAGCTCACATGCGGTCTATTTACTCTGCAGCCTGCGATACCATTGTTTTCCTTGGTGAATCAAGTGAACGGTCAGGGAATATCTTTCAAGCGACAAGGGATTCGAAACACAAAGGGTCAGTAGACATTACAAAAGAGACTTTGATATTGGCAAATCCTACCCAATCTTGGGGGATAAGTCAAGAAGAAATCAGAAATTCAGCATCTGAAGTCCTTTGGCGTCCTTATTGGAGCCGGGTATGGATCTATCAAGAGATAATTGTCTCCATTCGAATATGGATACAATGTGGAACAATACGAGTTTCATGGGATGATTTTTACTATGCTATGGTCGTAGCTCTAAGTACTAGCACAGGCTATTTTGGTGCAGGCTATGATAATGTGATCAAGAATCGCCTGGAAGATTTCTATTGGGAACGACTTGAATATCGAAAGTCACCTGAAAATGACGAGAAATCATCACTACCACTGTGTGGGCCACCTCATATACCTGAATATGGAAAACGATTGAATCTCCTTGATCTTCTTGTGACAAAGAGAGGTTATATGGCCTCGGACAGTCGAGACATCATCTTTGCGCTCTCTGGTATTGCTAAAAGGCCAGAAGGTACATAGCCATTTACTATAAGTTATGAGAAATCACCTCGCCAAGTATATTCAGACGTTGTCAACTATCTCATTGAGACGGACAATAATTATGACGTTTTAAGTCATGCAGAACAATATATCAATCACGCCTGTCATATTCGATCATCAGTACCATCATGGGTGCCATCATGGGTGCCAGACTGGACAACCCGTGCAAAATACAAACAAAAGATTGTTGACTGGGTTGAACCTCTAGACAAATCAGGAAGTGCTATCTCGAATAGTGCATATCTCAGGGATCAAGGAGTCCTCGCTTGCGTGGGCGATAAAATCGGCACCATAAGCCTGATTACTGACTACCCTCGCGATACTCGGCGCAGAGACGAAGGTAGAATAGGTCGGATACTGTGGAAAGAGTGGAAAGATAAAAAGCTTCCGGATAGTGTTTTGGAACTTTTCAATCGTTTACATCCCTTAATATACAATCGAAGATATGCCGAATCGCTTGAAGGTATCTGTTGTTTGGTACTAGAAGGGACCCAAACTGGTGATATTGTTTTTCAATTCATTGGTAGTCCACTACCCTATATTCTAAGGCCAATTGAATCGACGAATATTAAGTCTGGAAATGGATGGAGAGCTTGGAAAATATTGCAGCATCTCTCTCGCTGGTGGAATAACTCGACGGGACCCAGACAAGAACTACCTGCCAAATGCCTAGATGCCAAAATCTCAATCATTCTAGAAAAGAAACAATTAGGATACCAAACTCTCGAAATTAGACGTTATAATTTTGTAGGAGAATGTTTTGTGGATGGATTGATGAGCAATGAAATTAGCCAAATTCATGAACGACAGCATTCTCAAAAGAAGACCATATTCGCAATGTATTGAACAGAACAGATGAGATTTGATTGTAAACTGGCTTTGAGTATGGGAATCGATCTGAATTAGCTTTGATTTCTGAAGACTGTGGTTCTTTGCTTTTGACCAACAAAAAATCGTAAAGATCATGTAATGTATCACGAATTCGCCGTCCGGATGGATGAATGTGGTCTGCCCCTATTTCGTCTGTTGCGTCTACGAAGTTCTTTTAGTAAGAGAACAATGCTCAGAGCACCAACGCGAGAAGTATCTTCTCATCCCCCTGCCGAAAGGGAATGGATAAGGTCATAGGCAATCTCTAGATTAAAGCTTTATCAGTGCTGTTTGGTAGCAGCCGGCAAAGGCCAGAATTCTCACTCGGCTCGGTTTAACACTTTCTATTATGCAAATTATTAGAATAACTGTGATCAAGTCCCTTTCCACCAAGAAAATTACTAGAATGTTACATAAGAAAGAATATCGAAAATGTTGATTTTCATGTGAATGTGGCATAAGATCACGAGTTAGTTAAAGTCGCCTGCCGCGCAAACACCACCAAATCAAACCATGATTCTAGGACGAGACAATCGCGTCATATTACTCCATCAAAGCCACAAACTACAGTACGATACAACCTCAAGATAAAATGTTTTCAATACGACCGCTGTCAATTTAATACTTTGTGATAGCTGAGGTCATTCGAACTACATTTCTGCTTGATTGCAACTTCAGCGAGACTTACAAAATTCCCATTATCGTGGCAATGACGTCGTCTTCTGGCCCCGCAAGACCGGTATCGCCGAATAGCTTCTATGCTTTGAGCGACGACGAGGAGGGGGATTATAATACAGTCACATATACAGAATCGGGGAGAGGGGTCAAACTACTATTCTCCAAGAGCAAGGTAATAACTTCCAGCAGCTTGATGTTTCAAGCAAAGTGCGGGGTCGTTCAAGCAGCTCGTTACTAACATCACAACCACAACTACAGGTTTATATTCATCCTACTCCATCTGCGAAAGATAACATACCCGGATACATAGCTCTATTGCAACAGAAGTTAACTCCAGATTCGCGCCCCACATCTTCCTCCTCTAAAGATGCAAAATCTAAGACCTCCGCCTCCTTACTCCTGGCATGGCTTCCAGAATCATCTCTTGGGGATTCCTTGAATTCATATGTGAAGGTCGATCTTGCAGAAGGCGATTCTCCACCTAAACAATCATATCTCGTACCACCTCCTCCAACAACCACCACCCATTCTGGATCCGTCGGTCATTATGCCTTCGCCATACCCGTCTCGCAGGTTTATAGCCTTCTCGTGCGACCACCGAGCTTAGGATGGTGGTTTGGAAGTGTCATAATAAACTCTCGAGCAGGAGATTCCTTCCCTGCACTATTCTTTCACGACTCGGAATGTCAATCTACAATCTTACAAAAGAAGAAGAGGACGAGGGAATCATTCGATCCATTTGGCGCGAATGGAGAGATGTTTTGGGGTGGCGATGAGGTGTTAAGGTGGCTGAGACGATATGTTGATATTGAAAGAAGTGGTGCAGAACCTAATATCTACTTGGTGGAACCTTCGGCCGAAGATAAGGAAGCGTTTGGAGACAAGCCAGTCACATCTGCGCCAGTGAGGAGACCATCAAGTAGTGGTACCAGAGTTGGAAGTGCTGCTGGCGCTGGTTCGAGTGCATATAGAAGTGCGCAGAGAGACGCTGGGATGGATCCAGTTACAAAGTTTGTGAAGGAAGCAGGATGGAATCTGATGGAGAAGTTTAGTAAGGTTACGACATTCACGAGAAGGACGGCCGATTCAATTGTTGAAAATCCTAAAGTACCTCCACAGGTTAGGAGGTTCATGAAGAACCCGGAAGTTCAAACAATACAAGAGGAGTTTGATAGTGCTAGGATATACTTAGCGCGATGGGCTATGGGTATCGCAGAGCAAAGTGAAAGGGATAAGAATCAGAGAATATGGACAGCAAGGGATGTCTTGGAAATGGAGGAAACAGATGTCGGCGAATTCGAGTTATTGGAAACGGAGATGGGTTCTTTGACTATAAGGGAACAGAGGAAACCCGTAACGTCTGGAGAATGGAACAAGTTTTTCGATCAAAGGACTGGCAGATTATCTGTTACCGTAGATGAGGTTAAAGAAAGGATATTTCATGGTGGACTCGACCCAGAAGATGGAGTTAGAAAAGAGGCCTGGTTGTTCTTGCTCGGTGTTTATGAATGGGATTCCTCAGCAGATGAAAGAAAAGCCGTGATGGCAGCATTACGAGATGAGTATGTGAAATTGAAAGGTGCTTGGTGGGACCGTTTGGTCGACTTGGGTGGTGAAGGAGAGGAAGGGGAATGGTGGCGAGAACAGAAAAATCGGATAGGTAATAAAGCTCAATATCCTATCATTTTGAAGACTTGAAAAGGCTGACATATCCCATTTCTTGGGGCTCACACGATAGAGAAAGATGTTCATAGGACGGATCGTAACATCCCATTATACGCAGGAGAGGATACGCCACATCCAGACCCGAACTCACCATTTGCTGATGTGGGTACCAATGTTCACTTGGAGCAAATGAAAGATATGCTTCTAACCTATAACGAATACAATCGCGACCTCGGTTATGTACAAGGCATGTCCGATCTTCTCGCTCCAATATATGCTGTCATGCAAGACGATGCTATCGCTTTCTGGGGGTTTCAACATTTCATGGAGCGTATGGAACGTAACTTTCTCCGGGATCAATCAGGAATGCGTTCTCAGCTTCTCACTCTCGATCACCTTGTCCAACTCATGGATCCTAAGCTTTATCTCCACCTTCAAAGCGCAGATAGTACTAATTTCTTTTTCTTCTTCCGCATGTTGCTCGTCTGGTATAAGCGTGAATTTGCATGGTTGGACGTTCTACATCTTTGGGAGGTATTATGGACAGATTATTTGAGTCAAGAGTTCCATCTCTTCATTGCTTTAGCAATTTTAGAAAAGCATAGAGATGTTATCATGACACATTTGCAACATTTCGATGAAGTATTGAAATATGGTATGTTTTCATTCTCATAACATAAGATTCGAGGGTGACGAATACTAATGAGACATAGTTAATGAATTATCCAATCAGATAGATTTGGAATCCACTCTTGTTCGTGCAGAGGCATTATTCCGTCGCTTCCAGAGAACAGTTGAGGCTATTGATAAAAAGTCAAATTTCCCAAAGCCATCTATTAGACACCGTGTTACTCAAGGTACACAAGTTGCTGAGCCATCTGGCTCTGTCAGCGCATCAAGAGGTACAGATATGGGGGGTGGTACAATCGAGGGTGCAAGAAAAGACAAAGGAAAGCAGCCAACTAATGGGGAATTGGAAGACATGCCTGAGAGACCAAAGGTGATTAGCAAGGAGCTGAGAGAATTATTAAGTAGGAAGGTGATGATCTTGCCTAGGAAGGTGGTTAGGAGAGAAGGAGAGGGTTTGGCCAAGGTGCAGAAACAATAGTAAGGTTATGGGAAGGGAATATGGCAAAGGAAATATGGATCAGGCGTTTAGGTCACGCATTATACGCTCTATGAGTTTTTAAGTTGCAGTATTTTGGACGGCGGTGGATTGGAAGTCTTCAAGGGCCATGCGGGTACTTTCATATTTTTGTCGAATGGAAATGAATTTTTATAACATCTCAGTCATTCTAGTGTTATAAATGCGAATCATATCATCACTATTTCCTGGCATCGCTGTAATCATGTTGTAATGATAAGAACTCACGTTTTGGTGTGCATATTATTGATGTTCATCTATCATTCCATTCAATCCTTTTGCTCTCGTTCCAAATCTCGATATAAGCAAACATGATATCGAACATTTCCGTATGTCAAATCGGCCACTTGTATGCTCACATCTGTATTCACATGTTTTACACGTTCCATTTGCTCCTTATTATTGTTATACTACTCTCTCATTTCTGATAAAAGATAATGATTCAACAGATAAGAAATCAAAGAATGAGGTCTTTTGTGCCCTCTCTGCCATTTTCCTTGTCCTCTTGGTAAGCAAGTTTCAAGGACCCTGTTGATGTATACCCTTTCGTTGACATCCTGGCTCCAATTTTCAGTGCAATCCTCATTCTGTCACCGTTTCTTGTCTCCCAAACTGATAATTATAAATGAAGGATTAAAGTCTAGGATGCATACAAAAAGCTGAATAGATATCCTAGTGTACTCATTTTGCCTTCAGTACCTCTACATTCTTCTCTTCTGGTTGTTCCATTTTTATGTAAAATTAGCGCAGCGGGATCAGATGATGAAGATAGCGATGATGAAGATGGCGATGATGAAGATGGCGATGATGAAGATGGGGATGATGAAAGTGAATAGACATCGGGTGGTATTATTACCCAATCATTTGTGTCTTCCTCTTCTAATTGCTGTTGGGAATAGTAGTCCGGGGGAGAAAGAGAACTGATGTAAAACTCTGAAGCAGAGATACTTTGAATGAGGGGGGAAGGTGGACGATCTCTGGTTCGAGGGACAGAAGCTTTGGGAAATTGACGGTGCGAGATGGGGTGGAACCATGGTTGGGGAGTAGGTGGCTTCGACGATTGTGAGGACACAGAAGGGGAGATGGAAGGAGATGGCGGCCCTAGAGAATCAAGATTTGTTTGTAGGGAATCAAAAAGGAGTGCTTTGCAGAATGGTGGAAAGTCAGGGGGTTCTTTGTTTGCCGCGCTGGATGCTTTGAGCTCGCGGTTGATTGTGGATGTGCTGTTGTATTCATATTCATACGAGTTACGGTTGAAATTTGAAGTAGTTGGAGAGGGAATGTGGATTTGAGCCGGTGGTGTTAGTGGAGTGCGGGGTGGTGGACGAGTTGGAGGGGGAGGGTAGGGAGGGAGGGCATCCGAATCCGAAGTTGATTCTGGTTCGTCGGAAGGGGGGAGGAATACCCAAGTGGGAGGTCGCGGTCGATTGATTATCATGGTGGTGTCTGCCGTTGATGGGGGTGTATACGGCATCCTGGTCAGAATTCAGGTGTGTAAACGGCGAGGAATAAAGGTTCCTCGTATTGGATTGGAACTTGATTTTGCTATTATTGAAGAGCTGTCTGCACCAAACTTCGCATTGTTCGGAAAATCAAGATAACAATAAAAGTTGGGAATCAAATCATCGAGATAAAATGGAATGAAATGAAGTCCACGATAACATGATATGAAAAGCTCTCGTTGAAGTGAACACGCTTTTACATTTTTCGAGTGGATTTTCTTTGTCCTGATTCGTGGATTCGATCGACCTCTTTGTTCAGACACTATCTAATGATTTATAATATGAGTTTTGGAGTGATTAGGAAAATATGTTAGTCGAAACTTCAATGATTCCCTTTGTCTGATATTTGATGCTTGCGGGAAGTTCGACAGAGTATAGTATTTTGGGGGTGGATTGTTCGTAGACCCGAGTATGGAAATTCGGAGAATGAAGTTGCCTCGAGGAATCTGGAGGACCTGGATAAACTCGGAAGATTATATGATCAGGTCTGTATATCATTCACCGCATTTGCAAAACATTTGCGGTAGTCGTTTATGTGTCAATTGGCATGTGAACTTGGTTGAGGCGACATCGATGCAAACTGATGTGTAGGATTGCCTCTCTTTGAAATTCAAATTCGACATAGAGAACAATTGCTCTGATTAAATTCTACATCAACATCTGGTTCATTGATTCTAAGAAGGGCTTGTAACTTTCTCTATTGGTACAAAATCTCCAGAAAAATATCGAAAAATGGTTAATTTCCAGATCTAATTAAAATCATGGATGAGAATGTCGGCTTCGTTTGCAACGTCCTAGTCTCACAGTTTTACTTGTAATATAGAAGGATGTCTAGTCCAAGGAAAGGAACTCGAGGGGCGTTCTTTCCCAAATAACTTTTAATCAATCTCACTTTGGCCTTGCCTGCCCCTATCTTGTCTTGACAACCGAAAGCCGTTTTTGACGGGAAGTAAATACTCGCTAGCAAAACAATTTGTACAAATGAATGTTTTTGTTTGGTATGGCAGTATGAAGTGCAACGATCAAACTCATCGTACTAGAAGACTGGCGAATTTCCCTTAAAAATAAAGGAGCGCCACCAAATTGTTCCAAATCGGATCCTAAACCCACAATCTATAACCTCTAATTCCCGAACCTTGAACTCTAGTATTTTCCTTTGCCTAAATACCAGATTCCTGAAACATTGTACCTCGAAAAGTATGCATTCGGTGCATTGACTATCAAGCGTAGATTCATGGAACGTCATTCTCCTTCTGTAGACTGCCCAACGAGTACCTGCAGACTAGATTATTGAATGGTTCGAAAAGATGACCTGCAGGTGATTCTAGGGCTTATCATTGGTTCAGGCTTAGATTTATACTGAATTTATACTAGATTAAGAAGAATGCTGCAGAGCAAGTAGTAGATCTTGCAGATAAATCCATTAGCAGAGCACCTGCAGACCAGATTGTTTGCGGAACACCTGCAGGTGCATATTCTTTTGCGCAGCCTATTCTCCTCTTAAAACCTATCCTTTACTTTTGCTTGTCCGATACCTTTGGCTTTACAATCCAATAAAGCTCCTTTCAAAAGTGCCTCAATTACATTCTTCATGGTCTCCGCATTGGTACTTGCTGGAGACTTGAATGGGTTCTCCTCATCCTCACCCAACTGAACCGCCGCATCAAGTTCTTCCTGGGTAGCAGTCTCCGGATTCATTTTCGGAGTAACACCTACGACACGATGTAGTTCATTATGATCTGGTTGTTTCTCATAATCGGGAGGTTCAAGGACATTTAGGGCATCCAAGATAGCTTCAGGACATGTACCTAGAGCAGCCAGCACATCATAGACTATAACTTTGCAATACTCCACGATTTCTTCACTTTCCGGATCCGGAAGCAGTTCGGGATTTATCTCTCGATCTCTCGTATCGAAATAAGTGGTTCTTCTCAGTAAGAACCATTGCTGATCGCGATCTTTCATGATCGGGGCAGGCTTCCCATTTATCATCCTACATGCTCCTTTGTAGTAGAGTATATTCTGGGGTGCTTCTATATCTCTCAGAGCGATTCCCAAAGTTTGTCCAGTTTCGGCCATCTCTGAAAATATTGTAGGCCTCAATGGTGTGTCATAGGCTGCGATCTTGTTGTAGACCACTGAAGAGATTCCTTCTCGATCTAGAAACGAATGGAAATCTTGCGCAGATGACCAATGAAAGTCATTGTTGGCAGCTCCTTGGTCCGCTTTGAGGATACTGTGACTTGTGGGCTCTTTGGTGTCATTTCTAGCTTGATCGAGTTTGTAGTTACCTTGTAGGACAACCTTGGCTATCACATGCTTTAAAGGGTGTATCTGTGAGGAATCCTTTGGTCGTAATGATCTTTCGAACTCAGAAATATCTTGTAGAGAAGATATAAGCAAGAATGTTAACTGATAATTGTCTCTTTCGGCATTATCTTTGAGCTGTTGCAAAAGATCCAGGCCTCTTGGTTGTTTAGGATATGGTTTCCCTCCCATGATGCTGACAGGAAATTCATATAGATCCGGAGAAATGTTCTTTTCAGTGCCTCTGGTGCCTTGTCTAACAGGTATTTCCTCAAGACCTAGAAGATCGAGAGATTGACGTGCGAGGTGTGCCCTTGCATCTTCCGGTAGCAGGTTAGTTATGAAACCTTCGAGTTTCACCGCACCTAGACGATGGAGTTCTTTCAAAACTATCATAGCCGCGAGATCATCATAGTCTTTACCGACATCTGTGATGACAACAACGTGCGGAAGATCAAAGTTCTGTTTGCGCAAGGTAGTAACAGTATCCATAATCTTTCGATAGACGGCCGTCTCTATGTCGTTGAGGCCATCCGGAATAGGGTTATGAGTTTTTGAACCAGTCATATTGTGCTTTTGAAAAAAGGATTCCAGCTTTGATGTAAACATGGCGGAGAATTTTGTAAGTTTCGTGGATGTATGAAGTAGAATAATCCATTCCGAGAATGATGTGAGAAGAACTATATATGTTTCAAAAATCCAGTACAATAATAGTCATCGTATAATAAAATTTAAAACTTGATGAATCCAATATGATTGATGAATCAAGTATGATCGATCAAAGAGGGGTGATTCATGTTGGAAAGCTGCAAATTCGTTTGAATGATTGAATGGATGGGGCCATCTAGGTTACTGCGGCACGAAACCAACGTACAATGATTCCAAAGACAAGTAGATACCTTGGTGGTTAATAAGGTAGATATTCGGGCAGCACACAAGAGGACCTTTTGCAGGCCAGTTTTGCGAACTTTCTATTTTTCTCTTCTCTGATGATGGTGAAAAATATTGAAAGATTAGAAGTTAAATGGATATAATGACATGAATGACTAGATCATGACAGGGCAACCTGAGGCTGAGAAGCTGGCGTTCTCCTAGGCGGTCTCGGGGCTCTACTCAATTATTCTAGTAAAGTTCTTCGTAGAATACCTAAGTTAATAATAATAATAATAATAATAAGGCTCTCTCCTCTCCTCATTCATGGGGTTAGCGAGAGGCGAGATGTCAATGCTCCATGCACATGCTTTATGCTTATTAGCTCAGATGCCGATGCCACCGACGCCGATAACCTTATACCGATCCTGTAGCCTCGCGTAGCCTAGAGTACTGACCATCATCATCGCAAAGCCATTCGAAAGTCAATCACCCGCAGTCAATCACCGCAGTCAATCACCTGCATTATGGATCTCTTATCTACTATACGAAAATCTGGTTCACGAGGAGGTGTAAACTTTAGTTGGGATGAGGTTCAAAGTTCCCAAGTAAGTAAACCCCCCGACCAATTAATCAATCGCATGGACGTCGTTTACTTACTTAATACTCTCTCAGCATCGAGAAAATTACCTGGGCCATTCTCTTATGGCCCCAGTTGGTCGATGGCAAAAGGGAAAAGATTTGAATTGGTACGCAAAGGGAGACGCGGAATCGACTGGCAATGAGACTGCAGAAGAGAAACAGGCACGAGAGAGAAAAGAAGAGATTCGAAAAATAAAAGAGGCTGAGGAAGACGCGATAGCAAGGGCTCTAGGATTACCGGTCGCACAGCGTGGTGAAGCTACAGGAGCAAATAACGTGGAAGTTGGAGAATTGAATAGAGTTATTAAAGAATCGGAAGAAGGAACCGATGATGCTGAAGGAATGGGAAAGGGTACCGGATTTAGCGATTATGTTGGTAATACTGATGGGCAAGAGATGCTGCAGATAAAATCCGAGCCTTCAGAGCAGAGAGGTGGATTGCTGAGGAATGACCGCAATAATGAAAGAATCAATAGATCCGGAGGGGATAGAGAAGGGCGATCAAAGGAAAAAGATAGACGAAGACATCGAAGTCGAAGTAGGGATCATGAACGAGAGCGAAGTCACAGGAAGCATCGACATAGATCAAGAAGTGGTGAGCGGGAACATCATAGGCGTCGACATGATGCTAGTCCGCGAAGGAGGGAAAGAAGCCGCAGTCCAGCAGCTCGACCCCGCAGATATCGGAGCAGAAGTCCCGATCGAAGACATCGGTCAAAGAGAGAAGATGAGAATTCTAGACACAACGATCCACGGGAGCGAGTGCCTCGAAGAAGTCGCTCGCCAGACATACGAGGCAGAGAAAGGATGCCAGAGAAACGACGTTAATTCCATTATATTTGGTCTCATTTCTGGAAGGGAGTCATCGAAATGGCGTTGATAATATAACAAAAGTATACCCATTTGTAGTATTCTGTCTACTCAAATGGACATCAAGAATACAAAGTAATGATTTAAGATTGCGCATACTTGACGATGTCTCTATTTGATTTCCAAGATTACCTGTTACTTATACCATAGAGACTATCTATTTCATCAGGGTGTGTATATACGCACCCAGTATCATTCAGTACATAGGTAGTTGTCATTCATCGGGCATGGAATGCCACCATCTGCAGCCTTACCTCGTAGCCTTATTCCGTGGAACTAGATGATGCCTTTCTGCAGGTAACCTAATCTATTCTCGCCATTTAAACACCCGCGCTTTTTGATAGACTTTTGAATAATCACATTTCTCCTTGAAAAATATCCAAATAATTTGAAGTTTTGCATTTTAAGCGTCATCTTTCGGTTATTCATTCATTAACTACCAGGCTATTATTTTGTCCTTAGATTTATCATACTTTCCATGTTCTAGAACCCGCTGGAGTAAGATAGTGTGTCTCAGCCTTCCTTCTAGCCTTCCCTATGCCGGTAGTAAACCACCGCTACTCACACATCACAACTCCTTACGATAGACACTACTTCTCATAGGCATACATCATACATATAGCAAGCTGTCATTTACATTAATTCATGGCTCACCAAGGATAAACTTCTAGCTTGTTTGATTGTCTGACATAAACCCCCAGATTTATCGAGCTGTCGAGGGGAGGCAAATCGACACTCTGCGAGATCAACAACATCCATTATCGCCATGGACTTTACAAAATTACGAGCAGCTGCGCTGAACGATGGTGACGATGAAGAGGCTGTTACAGTCAATACGCGAGCTCTGATAGATAAAGTTCTAGCTAGATATTCTGGGGAATGGACAACTTTACGAGAACTAATCCAGAATGCTGCGGATGCACAGGCGACGACAGTTACAATCAAGTTCGAGACATCACCCTCTATTCAAGTCCCAACCCCAAATACCACAAATCAATCAGCGATATTGAAACATATCCTTCTTAATCACACACTGAAGAGATTATTAACCACCAACAACGGGCAGGCATTCGGAGTCAATGATTGGTCGAGGTTGAAGAGAATAGCTGAGGGGAATCCAGATGAAACGAAGATTGGAGCTTTCGGTGTAGGCTTCTATAGTGTTTTCGCCGATTGTGAAGACCCTTTTGTCAGCTCGGGCGATCAGGCTATGGCATTTTACTGGAAAGGCAACTTTTTATTTACCAAGAAGATTCAATTACCTCCTAGTGAAGCGAATCCCAATACAAGCTTCGTCCTTGACTACCGGAACAACACAACGCCAATGCCAAATTTACTTTCTATAGCCCAATTCTTAGCAACGAGTTTGACATTCGTGGCTCTTCAAAATATCGAATTATATGTCGATGATTTTAAGATTATATCTTTGAAGAAGAAATCAGCACCAAGTTACGATGTCCCTATCGCGAGGGATGTTACGACAAGGTCTAAAGAAGGTCTCATGAAAGTTCAAAAGCTTGAGAGAGAAAGTGTACAAATGGATGCAACCTTTATGAATGTCGTGGGTTGGAAACCTGCCAAAGAATCCACATCTAAACCCTCTTATGATAATAGCTACGGGAGTTCCAACGATGTACCCTCTCTCCGTTCCTTCTTTTCCAGACTTACGTCGAACAATAGCCAGGCTCAACAAAAGGCAAAAGCCTTGCAAGAGGAAAAGGCCATGCAAGATGTGCTACTTGAAGATCTGACAGCTCTAACAACAACCAATGTATTTCTACGTGTGACTACGGCAATGATTAAGACTTATATTCAGCCAAGTTTCGCAGCGGAGCTGGAACGAGCGACTAAGAAACCACCCCCCAAGACAACCAAATTGGCCATTCTCACATCTTCTTACGATGAAACCGAAGCATCTGCACATGATAATCTAGTTTCAAAGAACGTTGACGTTTTTGCATCTGTTCTTCCGGGAAAGAAACCTGGTGGTCGGGTTTTCATCGGTTTCCCGACTCATCAAACAACTGGTGCAGGTATGCATCTATCTGCGCCATCCGTTATTCCGACCGTAGAACGTGAATCTATTGATTTGAATGCTCGATATGTTCGGACTTGGAATCTGGAGATGCTTCGAGTTGCTGGTATCATGGCAAGATTAGCATTTGCTAATGAAATGTCTGATCTCGCTGATAAGGTCAAACGTGCAACTCAATCAAATGGAAATGGAAATAAGGTGACGAAGCGCGAGATTGAGCAGTTTTTGCCAGAAGCTGCACACATATTAAAAACTTTTACCTTTGGAGATTCTACCCCAAGCTCTCAGGTTTCCCAAGTTATCGAGGAAGCGTTTTGGACAGCGTATCAGAAGGCATCGATCGAGATTTATAGTACTAGGAGTGTTCTTCCAACGACAAAAGTTCGGTTAGCCACAGAAGATTTGAGTGGATTCGTGGAGGGAATCCCTGTCGTTCCAGACGCACTTCTCGAATCTGAATTCGTGAAGAAGCTCAAAGACTTTGAGCTCATCACTGAAATTACAATCCGCGATGTTAAGCAAGAGCTTGAAGCAAAGGCACTTACTAAAGAACAACTCGTTCAGTTTATCAAGTGGGCAGGCCACAAGGCCATCCTTGGAAAGATCGATGCCCAGACTATTCACTCTTTATTCGACGTTGCTGTTGCCACTCTAGGAGATGATAAAAATCAGGGTGAAATCATTGCGCTAGGCAGTGTCACGAGTTACCTGAATGTCAATAGAATACCACCTGAAGCTCCGGTTCCTCCAACAACAATCCCTTTTGAGTTCACTCGAGAATGTCAACCAAACGAACTTCAGGCCCTGGGATGGGAACCCCTCGAGATTGTGCCGTGGTTGCGTTACTTAATAGAATCGAGAGATAGAAGTGGACCTGAACAAAACATAACTACGGCACCACCATTTGCGGCCAAGGTTCTTCACATCATCTCAAAATCGTGGGAAGGAATGAGTGCCAATTCCAAAGCGACTGTCACATCACTACTTTCAACCTTGACAGTGATTCCAACCAAGTGTGGCATGAAAAAGCCGGGCGAGTCGTTTTTTGAAAGTGTGAAGCTTTTTGAAGATTTACCCACCCTGACGAATTGTCCAGGTGTCAAAGAGAAGTTTCTTGCAGCTATTGGAGTAAGAAAAACAGTAGATCTGGAGACAATCTTCAGTCGACTTCTTGCACCTCCCACACAAGCCAAAGAAGGTGAGGTGTCCAAGAACAGTCGTCACATGGACTTGATCAAGTATCTAGCCTCGGTAAAGGAAGACATTCCATCAGAAGATCTTAAGAGATTGAAAGAATCACAAATCTGCCCTGCCGAGGCAGGCCCGCCTGGTCAGGAATCGTCCCAAGGTACAGCCCGGATGTACAAAGTTCGTGAACTCTTTGAGCCTAAAGACGCACTCAGGGACTTGGGACTACCAATACTTCAATGGCCTGGACCTCTGTTTAGTTATCGATCCAGCAGCAATGAAGGCCGTTTCTTGTCTATGCTTGGGTTGAGATCTTTCCCTTCTGTTCCTGAACTTATTGATCTGATGTCATCGACTGACTTCATCCTCCGAAACAAAGCTATGGTTTACTTTATCACAAACCATCACATGAATGGTTACGCGAGCTTTGATGTCAATACCACTACGAAAGGAATTCTTCCAATCGAAGGCGACGAGAAACGAAGAGTTGCACCTTTTGAATGCTTCACGAATGAGAAGAGCTCTGTTCTTGGTTTCGAAATATTGCGACAAGATCTTCGTATCCATGCTAACAAATTTGGTGTTTCTGTTGATCCCCCTATTACGGAATGCGTCAATCGACTTATCAAAAGTCCTCCAAAATCTCGTCGTGAAGCTATTACACTGTTTGGATATTTTTCGAGCAGGCTTGGTGAGGTTGGTCTAAATAGTTGTGCCAAATTGAGTGATTCTCCTATTGTTCCCATACCAGACAATCGAGAAAATACGAGCGGACTTTCCAACGAAAAGCCACAATCTTCCAATAAGATTAAGTATCTTACACCTCGACAATGTTATCTGGGAAGTTCTTCGGAGTATAGCAATATCTTCGACTTCGTTGATTTTGGTACCGAGGCCAATACGTTTCTTCTCAAGTGTGGGTCTAAGAATGAACCTACCAAGTCAGAACTTGCTGCTCTAGTTTGCCAAGAACCTGCTCGTCTTCTTGGAATCATGAAAAGTCCCGAAAAGTACTTGAATCTCCTGAGGTCTCTTGCAAATGATCTGCCCATGCTAAGAAGAGATACGGTTCTATTCAGGCAGATGATGGTCTCCAAGTTTCTTCTCGGATCGAAGGAAATCTCAGCTGCAAAGGGAATATCGGATACGACCAGTCTTATAGACCAGCAGGATCTTGACGTGGAAGAAACCGAGGATGCCCCCCTTAAACAGTGGCACTTGGAGCAACCTAATAAGATTGTTGTTGTTGATGATTATAACAGCTACCGTCTCTTCAAAGAAAATCTGGTCTGCGCGCCTCTAGAGGACACGTTGGAAGAATTTTATCTCGCACTTGGATCTACCAATCTTAGTAACATTGTACAAGAAGACCTCCGTGTTGGTCAGGCTGTTTCTTATCAAGGAGATTCTGTCAAACTTCGTAAGCATATTCTTGAGCGGTCAAAACTGTTCTTGCATGAATCACCACGTGAGAATGTGAAACGAGATAGTCGATGGTTGGAGAAAAACTTGACGGTACAAGTTGTCAGTGGCATACAAGTTAGACGATCTTTGAAAGGCCACAATTTGTCGAATACAGAAAAAAGGACTGCTGCTTGTATTCACGAGCGACACAAAGGATTACAACTACTGGTGACTAATGCATATGATACATATCAAATTAGCTTGGCTATGTGCAAGCATTTATTAGCACGCCCACAACAGCAGTCATATCTCACCTTCGAATCTTTTCTCA